AGATATTCAATAAACCGAAGAAAAAGGAGATGCCAAGCGAGGAAAGACCCGAAGCCAAACAGCAGCTGTGTTCACGCGTGCGTTATATATATATATAGGTAGATAGCTATTTATATGTCTTTCTAACGCCTCAAAATATAACGTATAGAGATAGATTATATTAACATATTACTTTTTTGGTATCTATATAGAAGCCATTTAGGCCCAAGCAAAGCCAGAGCGATTGCAGGTTGTTATGTGGCCACGGTTGCTTTGTCAGGCTCACGCGTATTATTATTTTTGGTTGAGGCGATGGCTGCAGCCAGCACAAGTTTTGGGCACAGCTGCTCCTGGGACAAAACAGCCAAACCAACAGTTAACACACCTACCGCCTTGAACCTGAACCCAAACCCTTACTTAATCCCAAAAAACTTGTCAACAACCCCCCTAGCCCTGAACCCCAAACCCTCAATTTCAAGTCCAAACCCGAAACCACTAACAAACCATCAGCCCTGAACCCGAAACCCTCAAACCTAGACATAAACCCTCAAACCTACATAACGTAAAGCCTAGCTTTGAAGCCTTGGGCCCTTTCGCGCCTCACGCCTTAAATCAGAACTTTCCAGCAGTTTTACAGCTGCCGCTGAGAGACATGATCATGCTTTGAAGCAAAAAAGATAAAAGATGTCACATCTTTTGTTGTGCCAAATCCAAAGCAGCAGTGGCATTATGCAATGAATTCAGGTCAAAGAACCTGCCTCATCACCAGTGTCCACTTGGTGCAACTCTAGGAAGTAGCTATACAAGCAAAAGCAAGAAGGAAAGGCAACCCGGTTACAAAAGACAACCCGGTTACCAGGAAAAATCCTTGCTTGCGGATAGCCAACGAAGACCGTTCCCTTCAACCGATTTCTTGGCGTATGGTCTTTGATTGACTGCTGCTGGATCCAAAAGCCTCCCGAAGCTGACTTTGACTTGATGACCGACTTCCAGTCTGAACGAGATCTTTTGATGCACATTGCTCATCACCAGTACTACTGGGAAGAGCGTAATGAGAATGAGAGCCAGCGAACACTTTGGACCCGCAAGCAGTACATTAATCATATCACAGCATTCTTGACCGATGCAGATCACGTAGGTCGTTTTCTTGCTAGTTTCAGTACTGAACGAGCCGCACCGGCCCAGTCTCGACGTGAAGGTCCTACTCCGAATGTTCGACCTCTTGGACCTCCTCAATCCCAAGAGGACCGTCGAGTAGCTGGACCCAGAAAGCAAATCTCAGAGCGTTTCCGTGAAGAAATGAAAACGGAGGTGTCGGGTAAGGAAGAGCGCCAGCCAAAAAGAAAACATCAAACAAAAAGGATGATCAGGACGACGACGGTGCATATCAAAGCGGTCCATACCTCGATACCGACGTGACACCTCTGTCTCAGTAACTTTTCCCAAGATCAAAGCAAAGGCCATACCGAAAAAGCCTACCTGGCAGAAGAAATCCGATATTCCGGATCACTCTGCGACTGCAGCATCTTCCGCACCCACATCAGCCGATAAATCGGCCAAAAAGGGCCCGAATAAGCAGGAGGTTCGAACACTTCCCAAGCGCGAGGCAACTCAAAGGGCCAACCAAGAACATGATGCCGGATGCCGACGCAGCCAGGAAGGTTTAATACGACAACCTCAAGGCCAATTCGGTGCAGGATTTCACCAATATCCAATGGTTTCTGAGACCGGAAGGACCGCTTGAGTGTCGTATAACAGTAAAAAGTGCCAGTGTGACCACGCCATTTACTGGTGTCATCGTTGTGGGTTTGCGTATACCGCTTGGACTGCAGATGCCGAGGCATGTGACCACCACATGTGCAATTACTCGTCCGAGCTCGGTGAGAACTTCCTGCCAGACAGTATTGCATCCCAGAACTCAGCATTCGATATTACGGATCTCATCACATGACACCATTGGCCAAGAAGCATACTTCGGCTCTCAAAGGTCTGAACAATCCAATTACCAGAAGGCCGCTTTTGAAGATATGATTGATAAGAGTCACATAAGGGAACTAAGGTCGGCGATAGCTGCTTGCAATCTTTTTTCAAGCACGGTATCGAAGAATACAAGTTTGCCGATTTCGTCTACACCCTTCCGGGAAGAAAACGAGTTCCCACTACATTGAGTACCAGGACCCAGACGCACCTCTTCCGATTTGGAGACCTCCGATTTTTACCAACTGCAAACACTATGACCTGACGGAGGACGAGTGCGACCAGCTTTTAGAACTTTGTCGATCTGTCCTGCTCAGAAAAAGAACGTTGTCAAAACCGGCGCTTTCCGAAATCCGGACAATGTCGCAGAGAGCCGGAAGGACAGCTATCATGTTTCTCTTCTTACGCTGATCAGACTGAACCTTGGTCACGTCAACCGAAAACCATGCATTGGAGGCGGCGTAAAATTTCCGTCATGGATCCGAAATGATGCAAACTGCGTAGTGTTGCCAAATCTCGTTTTCCGGAAGGGCGCACACATTGTTGCACTTTACGAGGCAAATGATCCGACAGGTGGAATTGCCAGGCACCAGCATCTTGCACATGATCACGCAATGCCAGGCATGGTTGTGCACGCCGAAATCACGGCTACTTCCGTTGCAGCCTTTGCACGTGGCGCACATGAAGTTGGGCCCCTTTATTGAACTACTTGCTCAATATCAACATGAAACTGAACAAAAAGACCAAACCAGAGAACATGTTCTGGATTTTGCACGGCTGTATCTTTAGAATTGAATTCGGATAAGTTACGTCAGGTGAGGTGATTGATCCGAGCTCCGGTATACGGCCGACAATGCCAGGTTGTGAGCCAAACTTGGCAAATGGGATTGTTCCTCACCCCTCGCCCTTTGCGAGCACATTGGACGACTCCGGCTGGAACATTTCCGATCTGCTCAAGCCGATATCCGGCGCAGACAACCACGATGTCTGAAGACTCGGATTGTCCGAGGTCCGCGTGGCAGTATTTCACATATCAGCTTTTGCTTGGAACCAAGCATATGCAGAAACATGTGAAAGGTAGGTCAAATTCATTGTATCATGCATTTCCCACCAGGTTGACTTCATCCAAGGCGATGGCACATTCCGATTACCGGCGCTGCGCCTTCATTGATCTTTCAGAGAGGTTCCTCGGACAAATTTATTTGAATAGGTCTGCTCTTAATCGCATTACCTAATGTCGTCTCGTCCACTCACCCACTGCCAAGTGTGACAGCATGTTGCGCATATTTTAATGTTTTGCCAAGCAGATCATTATGATTGAAGACCGAGGCAAGCAACACTTCGCCAGTGCGGATGGCATTGCCGGCTTAGCAAATCATGACGAGATTTTGCTGAACGACGTGGAGCAACCCATGCTATAGCATCTCCTTGTCTATGACTTGGGACTTGGTGATAGTGATCAAGCCTATCACTCTCCACTCCTGGCCATCGCATCCATGCGGCCTATCAAGAACCTCCGCATTAGATCCCAAAAAGCCGAGAACCGGCGACGGGGAAAATGGCGGGAGAAAAATCTCGAATTTTTACGGGCGCGCCAGGAACGCCAAGAACTCAAACAGGAACGCCATGGACCCAGTACCGCCGCTGGCACGTGACAACTATCGTGAAGTTGGGGCGCTTTCATCATCTTCAGCACGCCCAGCTGGGCAAGCATGAGAAAGATCAGCGAGCCGACATCACGGCCAAGGTCGACAGAGAGATCGAACACCTGGAGGTGGATCAACTCCACCTTGGAGAGACCATCATCGTGGACGCCAACGTTCTGCATCTGTCACAAGAACGTCGAACTCGAAGCAGAACAGGTGATGCGGTCAAGGAGAAGGAGCACATTGAAGGACAGTGGCTACCAACAGCCGCACCAACCACAAGGCAAAGGAGGATCCTGGCAGGATCGTGGTTATCAGCAAAACTACCGTATCATTAAAGAGAGAACTATCCAAACCGACAACACGGTAAATGATATTATCAGCAGTCTTATTTTCGCTGGGACCAGACTGCTTCTGTTTAGTATGTTCCAGGGTATCAAGTGCAATATGAACGTTGGCACCGAAATTCGGATGGGACTTGGGTTGACATGCTTCCACACCACACTTCCCAACAGATTCCATTTACTTCAATCAGCCAACCTGGCAGAGGAGAAACAACGAACTGTATCTTTATGGATACACCTTTCGTATGGGACGCTGATTGGAACTTGAAGAACATTAGCTGATTTACGGCAATCTTCCAGCGAACAGTTAGAAACCTTTCGGGCCGCTTTCCGCATAGTTTGATTGTTTTTTTATCTGGACCACGTGTCACAGCAGAGCATAAGCTGAGCGTTTGCTATGCTAGAGCAAAAAATTTGCTGCATGTTACGACACGAAGAAAATTTGTGTTTGTTTTGTAACCTGCTTTTGGAGACGTGTCTGCACAATGCATATATTATACAGTGTGCATACCATGTGACATGTTCGCTTAATTCATGTCTACCATTGCGCCACTCCGTTGCTCAAGACTTGCCAGCAGAGCTGCATAAAAAGGTGCTGCGCTCCGACTCTGTGGCCACATGTGTTCATGGCTTCTAGCTCAGATCCAGAGCAAGCACTGACAAGGGTCAAGGACGTTGTTGCCCCACCACCCCCTCAAAAAAGAAAACAACCCGTGAACAAAGAGGACCTGGTCGAACATTTCTATGTCAAGACTCCAACATCATTAAACCCATCTTCATGTTACGCAACATCAAAGTAGAAACATGTACAAAATATAGAAATGTACGAATTATCAGGGCCCCCGAGCCCCCGTGTAACCATAAACTTTGATAAAATGGGATGCAAATAGGAAACGATGTCCAGTTGTATGAGGAGATATTCTCTTCAGTTCTTTTTGTGGATGCAAATCCTGATTTTTTTGTTACCAGGATCAGGATATCAACCCCAAAATGGATGGTTAAATATGGTTCAATACTAAATTCGAGCAAAAGATAGTGGCAAACAATGTTCAGCCCCGGCTCCAGTTGCGCACGAAATGGCCCATGGTGTTTTAGTGCCATGTAGTGGACGCTTTGCAAGGTGCGGTTTGCTGGTGACATTCTGGACTGTAGTGTTTCTACTCTCTACAGAAATGAATTTTCAGCAGCCAACTGCGGTGACTGAACAGCCAAGCGTTGAAGATGTGGAGAGTACATCCACTACATCTACGACTACTGTCAATACATCCAATACCACTACCTTTCTGCCACCACTAACTGCAGCGTTTACGAAAGTCCCACGTGGTGTCGCTGTTTGCATTGCAGGGAATCTTCGGACCTTCACAGTTCCAGTGGTCTTTTCTCAAATCAGACCCTTTCATGAGAAACTCTGGGGATCGAAGGTCTCGTTTTTCCTCTATGGCACCTTGGCCGGTGCTGGGCCGAAGAACCAAACGAACCACAACCTGCCGGCCATCAATGAATCCAACCAGACTGCGCTGAACATTGCGGTGACTTTGCTGAGGCCCGAAACAGTGGAATTGGTCACGAATGCTGAGGATGTGACGGAGGAGAACATTGCGCAGTATGTTCTGCATCAGGCGCGGGTGAGCAAAATTGTACATGTCAAATCTGACAACCCATGGAGGGAATATACAATCTCTAATTTGGATCTGATATAATGTGTGAACTCAACAGTAGTCAGCATTAGGTCATTTGATATCCATCACTAGTTCTGTTTCCAGTCGGGGACAAAAGAACTAGACCAGCAAACTGCCAGGATATATTTAAAGAAAACACACAGTCATCAGTCATCATCTCGCAAAATGGAGCGTCAATTTCATGATGTATTTCGTTCATGCCCCAGGAATGTTTCCGACGTATTCAATTCGTTCAACCAGTGGACGGTGACGAAGCCTTCTTCGAAAATCGTGTGCGCTTCTTGCGTGGCCTCAACCAGCTCGCGCACGTGATTAGTAGCCTTCAGATGATGATGCGATATGAAAATGCCCGCGGTCGCAGGTTCAAAGTGGTGATTTTAACCCGCCCGGATCTGCGATATGACGTGAACCGCAGTGATCATGATTGGTTTCGTGATGTAGCTTGGGTTCCCGAGTGGACCTCCAACGGCAATGTGGCACTTCAAATGGATCACTGGGTGGCCATGCCTCGTGCGTTGGCGGAACGATTTTTTTTGCTCGGCAAAGTTCTGAGCTGTAGTCCATCCGACAAATTCTGTTGTCGAAAAATTGACCGATCTGAAAGTTTGTGGGAATATTTAACTGGAGCGGTGCATGGCAATTTTGGTCAATGCTCCTGCTCAAATATCACCACGCCCTATAAAAAGGCCAAAGTCGCCAAGATTCAGCGGACCAAGCCGACAAAATAGCCAAGATTGACCAAGATTGACCTTTGACACCGCAGAGGCCAAAACGGTGCAGAGAGTGTATGCGTATAGGCGTATATGAAAGTACACGTGAGGAGTCATGAGTGGAATAACATGACATCATCATTTTGTGCGCAATAATCATACACTGACATGTTCGTGGACTGTTTAAGCAGTTATCTTTGAGATCTTCGCAAAGGGTTTTGCGCGGCAGAGGACAAGTGAAATCTGGCTTTTGGACGAGCTGACTGATGTCAAGAAAAGCGTGGTCATCATTCACTCTCTTTTCATTTTCGTTTTGGAGATGAATATGGATCCACCATTTCGAAAGAGGACCTGAAAAATGCTCCAGATCATCATCAACAAGGTGCAGTCCTCATCTAAATGCAGTTGTTGCAACCTGCCCGTATATATATATATATATATATATGGATATTGATCTCACCTTCTATCTTCCATACTTCTTTCGGAGAGTTCAACAGTTCAACTTCACCTTTACACCACCTTCTGCCCATGGTGGTGACATATTGGGTTTTCACCAGCCATGTTTGGGTGATGCTGACATAAACCTTGCCGGACTCAGCGACGTCATCCGGTCAGATTCACTTGAGAGACGAGCCTGGCAGATGCATGCATCCCCAAGCCGTTTGATTTGGATAATATGGTTTAACAAAAAGAAAAGTATCTCTGTAACTGGATGCCTTATCTTTAGTAACTGGATGTCTTATTACCCCGGCAAGAGACCCCAAACAGTGTGGGGGTGTGGGAGGATATTGTAGAGCTTCGCACACCGGCGATGCCTGTAGGGGTCGGGGGAGGGAAAGAGAGAGGGGGATTTCATCTGAACTTGCGGACATGACATGCTGCGAGCTGCATCGTTGTCGTCGTTGTCGTCATCGTCATTGTTGTCGTCGTCGTCGTTGTCGTTGTTGTCGTCGTTGTTGTTGTTGCTTCTGGTCCTCGTTCTCGTTCTTGTTCTTGTTCGTGTTGTCGTTGTCGTTGTCCTTGTTGTCGTCGTTGTTGTCATTGTCGTCATTGTCGTTGTCGTTGTTGTCGTCGTCTTCGTCGTCGTCGGCGTCGTCGTCGTCGTCCTCGTCGTTGTTGTTGTTATTGTTGTTGTTGTTGTTGCTGTAGCTGCTTGGTCCTGTTGTCGTTGTCGTTGTTATCTTTGTAGTTGGTACTTTTTGCAAACCCCCGAAAATCGTCAAATAGGCGGTTTTTGCAAACCCCCAAAAAGTGTCAAATAGGCGGTGTTTGCACGATTTTTCACGTTCTCGGAACCAAAAAAACCGTAAATACCGATGTTTCTGGCTCCGCGCCAGCACAAAACCACGCTATTTACGAGGTTTTGAGCCTCTGCTAGGAAAAAACACGGTATTTACAGTGTTTTGTGGCCCGGGCCTAGCAAAAACACAAGTATTTACGCAGTTTCCAGCATGTTGTCAGAAGCTTTTTTTGGATGCCAAAGGCACAGTAACATTGTAAATTACACGATTTTTACGCGTGGACTGCACCAAAAAAACATGAAAAATCCACCAAAAATCGACCAGAAAACGCCCAACAAGGACCCAAAACGCATCTTCGAATTTTACCCTCTTTTTTCCCACCCCGAACCCCCAAAAACGTGAAAACCCCAGCACCCCGAAGGATTTTCAAAAAGGTCGGTGGCACCGGCGCGCCCCTGGGTAGCTAAAGCTATGCTTAGCAACCACCACCACACGGCGAGGCATCGCCGGAATGTATTATAGAATGGGCTAGCGCCCGGGTGCCGCCGACCCCCCTTCTGGGGGGTTGGGCTGATGGTGGTCGGTGCGGTGCATGTTTGATTGCATGATGATGATGAGGATGATGGTGATGATCATGATGATCATGATGATGAAGAGGATGATGATGATGATGATGATGAGGATGAGGATGATGATGATGATGATGATGATGATGATGAGGATGAGGATGATGATGACGACCATGATGATGATGATGGTGATGATGATGATGATGACCAAAAGGATGATGACCATGCTGATGATGATGATGATGATGATGGTGATGAGGATGATGTTGATGATGATGATGATGATGATGATACTGATGATGATGATGATGATGATGATGATGGCGATGAGGATGACGGCGATGAGGATAAGGACGACGACGACGACGACGACGGCGACGACGACGACGACGACGACGACGATGACGACGACGATGACGATGATGATGATGATGATGATGATGATCACAATGGGTCTGCGCAGGGTTCAACGCATATGCATTCGTGGCACGTTGAGGCGCAGCAGCCGTGGCAATGCATGGCCTGCGCGGCCTGGAAACAGGAAGATGCATTCAAGGCAAAACATGCAAGCCCACTAGCCACATTTCATCGTATTTGTGCGACGTGCGAACAGACACAAGTGTGTAGTGCCTGCAATGCACGCAAGGACGAAAATAAATTTTCTGCCGCGGCCTGGAAACGGGCACGCACTGGCGGTAGAGTGTGTTTAGATTGTTCGGGTAGAGCACCGGGCTGGTGGAGATGCGGCGTATGCAAGGTAAAGCCAAGCAGCGTGAAGCCTGGCTCGCGCAACATCGATCTTGTAATGGTGACCAAGTCTGTAGCAACTGCTGGAAGTGCCCCCCATTCCCCGGGGAAGCATCAGCAAAGCGGTACAGCGGGTAGCTGCAACGCAGGCGAAAATCGCGAGGCGGGCAGCGGAAGAAAAAAAGGCACGCGCCATCGCCGATGTCTGGGATGCCATCGCGGAACGAAAACGGAATAGAGAACAGGAGAGCCCCCAAACGAAGGAAGCAGAGCTGAAGGCAAAACAGCGCAGACAAGAGAACGGAACAGAAATGACCACAGAAGGGCCTGCAGATGTACATGGCAAATAGGACGACAGCAACGGACGGCAGAGGGCGGTGCGGCCAACGAAGGCAGCAGAAGCCATGGCCAAAGGCAAGAATTTCAAATACGTGTGTCCGCATTGCAAGCAGCCTGTAAGCAGTACTATACGAACAGGCCAAGTCAATCACCGCCGCACATGCGGTAACTATTTCCGAGTCAGGTATGACTACGTTTGTCCCGCTTGCAATGGGCATGTGGCCAGTAACGTGGCGACAGGGCAAATAGACCATCGAACAGTCTGTGGGAACCAATTTTCTGTTCAGGATGGGGTTGTTACAGAGCAAGGCGTAGTGTACAGGTGTCCATTTTGCAAGGGAAATGTGAGAAGCGACGTCAGGACAGGGAGAATCGACCATCGAACAGTCTGTGGGAACCAATTTTATGTGAAGGACAGTGCGGTCAGCAAGAACACACGGTGTCATGCGCACAGCTGCCCGGTGTGCTCAACTGTTGTTTGGTCATCGCAGTCATGTGGGCGCATTGCGGTGACGCGTGTCACGCCCTCGGGAAAACGATCGATGCCAGATGAAACATTGGCACGTTCCCGACAAAAAGGCGCGGCGAAGCATTAACAACAGAGGAAATAGAAAGACGCTGCGCTTGCCGTAGGAACAGATGGCAATGGCAAGACCCCTGCAGCGAAGCATTTGAGAGGTTTGAAAGCTGGCAAACGGAAAGAATGTACGCGGTAACAACAGACGCGATGGAAGCAAACAGCGGGCTTGAACGTTCCAACAACAAATGCCTGCGGCCAGAGTGCCTGGTGGAAGCTGCCGCGTAGGATTTTGAAGGTTTTAACGATTTGAAGGCTTGGAGAAGGCTATGTACACGCAAAGGGCAGGCTGCAATGCTGGAACAGCAAAGGCTGACGGCCAGAGGGCTTGATGGAAGCTGCTGCGAGGGATTTGGAGGGTTTTAAGCGTTTGCAGGCTGGCAAACGGCAGGCTTGAATGCCCCAAGAACAGAGGGCTATGTCGGCTATGTGCAGGCGACGGGCAGGCTGCAACCCTGGAACAGCAAAAGCTGATGGCCAGAGGGCTTGGTGGAAGCTGCCGCGAGGGATTTGGAGGGTTTTAAGGGTTTGAAGCCTGGCAAACGGCAGGCTTGAATGCATTAACGACAGAGGGCTATGTGCAGGCAAAGGGCAGGCTGCAATGCTGGAACAGCAAAGGCTGACGGCCAGAGGGCTTGGAGGGAGTTGGAGGGTTTTAAGCTTTGAAGGCTGGCAAACGGCAGACTTGAATGCCCTAACAAGAGAGGGCTATGTGCAGGCAAAGGGCAGGCTGCAATGCTGGAACAGCAAAGGCTGACGGCCAGAGGGCTTGGTGGAAGCTGCCGCGAGGGATTTGGAGGGTTTTAAGGGTTTGAAGCCTGGCAAACGGCAGGCTTGAATGCCCTAACAACAGAGGGCTATGTGCAGGCAAAGGGCAGGCTGCAATGCTGGAACAGCAAAGGCTGACGGCCAGAGGGCTTGGTGGAAGCCGCCGCGAGGGATTTGGATGGTTTAAGGGTTTTAAGCGTTTGAAGGCTGGCAAACGGCAGGCTTGAATGCCCGAACAACCCTGGAACAGCAAAAGCTGACGGCCAGAGGGCTTGGTGGCAGCTGCCGCGAGGGATTTGGAGGGTTTCAAGAGTTTTAAGCGTTTGAAGCCTGGCAAACGGCAGGCTTGAATGCCCCAAGAACAGAGGGCTATGTCGGCTATGTGCAGGCGACGGGCAGGCTGCAGCCCTGGAACAGCAAAAGCTGACGGCCAGAGGGCTTGGTGGAAGCTGCCGCGAGGGATTTGGAGGGTTTTAAGGGTTTTAAGGGTTTGAAGCCTGGCAAACGGCAGGCTTGAATGCCCTAACAACAGAGGGCTATGTGCAGGCAAAGGGCAGGCTGCAATGCTGGAACGGCAAAGGCTGACGGCCAGAGGGCTTGGTGGAAGCTGCCGCGAGGGATTTGGAGGGTTTTAAGGGTTTTAAGGGTTTGAAGCCTGGCAAACGGCAGGCTTGAATGCATTAACAAGAGAGGGCTATGTGCAGGCAAAGGGCAGGCTGCAACCCTGGAAGAGCAAAGGCTGACGGCCAGAGGGCTTGGTGGCAGCTGCCGCGGGGGATTTGGAGGGTTTTAGGGGTTTTAGGCATTTGAAGGCTGGGAAACGGCAGGCTTGAATGCCCCAAGAACAGAGGGCTATGTGCAGGCAAAGGGCAGGCCCTGGAACAGCAAAGGCTGATGGCCAGAGGGCTTGGTGGCAGCTGCCGCGAGGGATTTGGAGGGTTTTAAGGGTTTTCAGCGTTTGAAGGCTGGCGCGGCAGGCTTGAATGCCCGAACAAGAGAGGACTATGTGCAGGCAAAGGGCAGGCTGCAACCCTGGAACACCAAAAGCTGACGGCCAGAGGGCTTGGTGGAAGCTGCCGCGAGGGATTTGGAGGGTTTTAAGGGTTTTAAGGTTTGAGGGCTGGCAAACGGCAGGCTTGAATGCACTAACGACAAAGGGCTATGTGCCGGCTGCAACCCTGGAACAGCAAAGGCTGACGGCCAGAGGGCTTGGTGGAAGCTACCGCGAGGGATTTGGAGGGGGTGAAGGGTTTTAAGCGTTTGAAGGCTGGCAAACGGCAGGCTTGAATGCCCGAACAAGAGAGGGGTATGGGTTTGAAGCCTGGCAAACGGCAGGCTTGAATGCCCCAGAGCGCTATGTGCAGGCAATGGGCAGGCTGCAACCCTGGAACAGCAAAAGCTGATGGCCAGAGGGCTTAGGGATTTGGAGGGTTTTAAGGGTTTTAAGGGTTTGAAGCAAGGCAAACGGCAGGCTTGAATGCCCTAACAACAGAGGGCTATGTGCAGGCAAAGGGCAGGCTGCAATGCTGGAACAGCAAAGGCTGACGGCCAGAGGGCTTGGTGGAAGCTGCCCCGAGGGATTTGGATGGTTTTAAGGGTTTTAAGCGTTTGAGGGCTGGCAAACGGCAGGCTTGAATGCCCGAACAAGAGAGGGCTATGGGTACCCTAACAAGAGAGGGCTATGGGTTTGAAGCCTGGCAAACGGCAGGCTTGAATGCCCGAACAAGAGAGGGCTATGTGCAGGCAAAGGGCAGGCTGCAACCCTGGAACAGCAAAAGCTGACGGCCAGAGGGCTTGGTGGAAGCTGCCGCGAGGGATTTGGATGGTTTTAGGGGTTTTAAGGGTTGGAAGCCTGGCAAACAGCAGGCTTGAATGTCTATGTGCAGGCAAAGGGCAGGCTGCAATGCTGGAACAGCAAAGGCTGACGGCCAGAGGGCTTGGTGGAAGCTGCCGCGAGGGATTTGGAGGGTTTTAAGGGTTAAGCGTTTGAAGGCTGGCAAACAGCAGGCTTGAATGCCCGAACAAGAGAGGGCTATGTGCAGGCAAAGGGCAGGCTGCATCCCTGGAACAGCAAAAGCTGACGGCCAGAGGGCTTGGTGGAAGCTGCCACGAGGGATTTGGAGGGTTTTAAGCGTTTTAAAGGTTTGAAGCCAGGCAAACAGCAGGCTTGAATGTCTATGTGCAGGCAAAGGGCAGGCTGCAATGCTGGAACAGCAAAGGCTGATGGCCAGAGGGCTTAGGGATTTGGAGGGTTTTAAGGGTTTTAAGGGTTTGAAGCAAGGCAAACGGCAGGCTTGAATGCCCTAACAACAGAGGGCTATGTGCAGGCAAAGGGCAGGCTGCAATGCTGGAACAGCAAAGGCTGACGGCCAGAGGGCTTGGTGGAAGCTGCCACGAGGGATTTGGAGGGTTTTAAGCGTTTTAAAGGTTTGAAGCCTGGCAAACAGCAGGCTTGAATGTCTATGTGCAGGCAAAGGGCAGGCTGCAATGCTGGAACAGCAAAGGCTGACGGCCAGAGGGCTTGGTGGAAACTGCCGCGAGGGATTTGGAGGGTATTAAGGGTTTTAAGCTTTTGAGGGCTGGCAAACGGCAGGCTTGAATGCACTAACGGCAGAGGGCTATGTGCAGGCAAAGGGCAGGCCGCAAGAGGGCTTGGTGGCAGCTGCCGCGAGGGATTTGGAGGGTTTTAAAGGTTTTAAGCGTTTGAAGACTGGCAAACGCAGGCTTGAATGCCTGAACAACAGAAGGCTATGTGCAGGCAAAGGGCAGGCTGCAATGCTGGAACAGCAAAGGCTGACAGCCAGAGGGCTTGGTGGAAGCCGCCGCGAGGGATTTGGACGGTTTTAAGGGTTCTAAGCGTTTGAAGCCTGGCAAACGGCAGGCTTGAATGCCCCAATAACAGAGGGCTATGTGCAGGCAAAGGGCAGGCTGCAATGCTGGAACAGCAAAGGCTGACGGCCAGAGGGCTTGGTGGCAGCTGCCGCGAGGAAGCAGTGCAGCATTTGGAGCCAAGAAAAAGAAGTTCCACACCTGCGGTGGTCCCAGGCGCCGCACTGCCTTGGCGAAGGCCGGGGTCGGTGGATAATAACTTTACTGGTAATGATAATGATAATGATACTGTTAATGTTGATGTTGTTGTTGTTGTTGTTGTTGTTGTTGTTGTTGTTGTTATTGTGGTTGTGGTTGTGGTTGTGGTTGCTGATGTTGCTGTTGCTGTTGCTGCTGCTGCTGCTGCTGGTGTTGTTGTTGTTGGGTTGGTTGGTTGGTTTGTTTGTTGGTTTGTTGGTTTGTTGGTTTGTTGGTTTGTTGGTTTGTTGGTTTGTTGGTTTGTTGGTTTGTTGGTTTGTTGGTTTGTTGGTTTGTTGGTTTGTTGTTGTTGTTGTTATTGTTATTGTTGGTGTTGTTGGTGTTGTTGGTGTTGGTGTTGTTGTTGTCGGTGGTGATGATGATGATGATGTTGTGGACGATGATGTTGAGGATGATGATGTTGAGGATGATGATGTTGAGGATGATGAGGTGCAGCAGGATGATGTGGATGATGATGATGATGTTGGGGAGGATGAGGATGAGGTTGATGATTTTGAGGAGGACGAGGGTGAGGATGAGAATGCGGAAGATGAAGTGGAGGAGGACAAGGTGCAGGATGATGATGTTGAGAGGGAGGAAGATCAGGATGCTGAGGATGATGATGATGATGTTCAGGAGGATGATGAAAAGGATGTTAATGTTGTGGAAGAGGAGGTAGAGGAGGATGATCTTGCAGAAGATGAGGTGGAAAATGGTGATGTTGAGGAGGAGGATGGTGAGGTTGAGGATGATGATGTTGAGGCTGGTGATGTTGAGGCTGATGATGTTGAGGAAGATGAGGTTGAGGATGATGATGTTGAGGATGATGATGTTGAGGAATATGAGGATGAGGATGACAATGCGGAAGAGCAAGTGAAGGATGATAAGGTGGAGGGTGGCGATGCTGAGAAGGATGAGGATGAGGACGAGGACGAGGACGAGGACGAGGATGATGATGATGATGGTGATGGTGATGGTGATGTTGAGGAGGATGAGGATGAGGATGATGTTGAAGAGGATGAGGACTGACGAGGATGAAAATGAAATGCGGAAGATGAAGTGGAGGAGGACAAGGTGCCGGATGATGATGAGAAGGAGGAAGATCATGATGTGGAGGAGGATGATGTTGAGGAGGATGATGTTGAGGAGGATGACGAAAAGGATGGTAATGTTGCTCAAGATGAGGTGGAGGAAGGTGTTGTTGCCGAAGATGAGGTGGAGGATGATGAAGTTTAGGATGATGATGTGAAGGGCGAGGAAGATGACGATGTTGAGAAGGATGATGCTGAGGAGGAGGAAGATGATGATGTGGGGGATGAGGATGTTGAGGAGGAGGACCGATCCCAAGACCTAGGACCACACTTTATGCGAGCCTGCGCAGTCGAAATGCACGTCAACATGTCACAAGAGCAATTTTATACGGAAATCTACAGGTAAAATGCCGCAGACCAGAAGCTAGGACCACACTTTGTGCGAGCCTGCGCAGTCGACATGCAGGTCAACATTTCACGAGAGCCACTTTATGCAGAAATTTACAGGGAAAATGCTCGAGACCAGAGTGAGTACCCTGATCAAGCACCGGCCTTTACAGCAACTACCGTAAGAACCCCTGAGTGTGGACACAGTGTTTGGGGAAAAAAGTGTTCATGAACATGATCACATGTATGAAGAGACGGAGACATTATTATTTATTCCACGCATCACTATGTGGGGTTCTATTTTTTTGCTGGGAATCCGCCGCGCTCCGTGCGTCGTCTGCCTCCCGCCGTTTTCTCCGTCTCTCTATCAACTTGTTTCTATCACATGCATCTGTATCAACATTTCTCTATGAACTTGTCTCTATCACATTCTTCTGTCTTTCCTCCGTCTCTCTATTAGCTTATCTTTATCACAAGAAACAAGTATCAACACTTCTCTTTAAAAACTTGTCTCTATCACATTCATCAGTCTTACTTCCCTGGAAACCAAAAAATGCCATTAATATGAGAGAGATTTTGCCTGTTGGAAACCTCCGGCATTTCAGTTCAAGAAACCCCTACCTGTGTCCATTTTCGTGCCTAATGTCTTTGATTTCGTGGAGCGGCCTTTGGATCTTTGTGCTTCACATCCTGCAGAAATTTAGCACGCCCCTGGGATGGGACCCAGCGGGTCTGGATGCACTCAATGCAGAACTTCAGGTGCAGCACTTGAGGAGAACGGAGCAAAGACAACTAGTGAAAAAACAAAGACACTCTATACATGTGAGAAACAAACGAAACACATGTGCACTTAACAAAGTGGCGCACAAGATTCCAACCCAGATGTTTCGTTTTCACCCTGGCTCTCACTACAGGTGAAGGAAACCCACAGGATGGCGCAGAGCATGAGAGTAGAGGCTCGGAAAATTGTTCGCAAGGGGGCTTATGTTTGCTCAAAATCGACGCAGCTCCATGTGGGATCCTAGCTCTTTTGTGTTGCCGCGCATGTTTTCCGCAAGCTTCAAACATCCAGATCATCCAGCATATTCATGTTGCCTGCGTCTCGTTGCATTTTTGCGCTTATCTAAGGTGGTGCCCGATCCATCTTCTGAACTGTGTTTTGAGCATCTTCTCTGTAAATTGCAGTCTTGCAAGTCTTGAATTACAACCCTTCATACACTCATACACCGTACGACCCTGAAAGGCAGGAGACTCACTTACACCCGACAGATTTGCATCACTTACACCACCCGCATCACTTACACCACCAGGCATCACTTACAACCAACAAATTCGCATCACTTACACCACCACTTCTGTTTTAGGGCAGGAAGTACACAGGTACGACCCCTTTAGGGTTTCTTTGTTTCACACAGGAACTACACAGGTACGACCCCTTGAGGGTTTCTTTGCTTCACGCTAGAGAATTTGTCTGCTTTGATGATGATGGTCCCGATGAGGACAGTGATGAACATAATGATGGTATGATATGCTGAATGTTTCGGTTATTGGTGTCAATGATGTTGATGATGAAGAAGGAAAAGACGTGAACGTGATGATGATGATGATGACGATGATGACGATGATGATGATGATTCCATGATGATGATGATGATGATGATGATGATTCCATGATGGCAGTGTAAGCGATGCAAATCGCGCGGTTGTAAGCGATGCAAATTTGGCAGTTGCAAGCGATACCGCGACCACCCTGAAAGAGCGTTGAGGGAGCTTTGAGTCAATCAAACCTACAAGAACACCAAAAATGCAATTACATTAAGTTCAACGCAGCATGGGCAAATATTCATTTCAGAAACGGAGCTGACATGAAATCGACAACGGAAGCATCATATCTTTGCTCAGTTATAACCAATACACCAGACCCTGGGCAAGAAATTCGTCGTAAAATTTCCGGCACAATGCCAGTTCTTAGAAGGCTAGACATTTTTTGGAACGAAACCCGCAGTAATGTGGAAACTGCTTGTTTACATGTCTGTAATCGTGAGCCGTGTGTTGTATGGGTTGGAACCCCTTGAGCCTACACAAAATATTGTTCGGATGCTCGACATTTTCCAACTAAATGGATTGCGCAAGATTCTTTATTTACATACCACTTACATTAACAGAAACAACACAAATGAGTATGTATACCAACAAGCAAATCATGCCTTAGAGGCATATTCGGTAGGCCCACTTCGAAAAATTAAACTTCTGACTGAGGTTCTCGTGGAAAAACGTTCAAAACTCTTGGGGCATGTGCTTAGAAGGCCAAGATCGCATCCTCAACGCCAAGTCACTTTTTGATTCGATGCTTGCCAGGCCTAAAGCCCATACCTTGCGTAGAGTAGGCAGACCCAGAAAATTTTGGACAGCAGAAACTATGCGCAAAGCTTGGGAAATTATCCAACAGACAGACAATGCAAAAACAAAAATCCTTTTGATCCAGCCAACCGGGCAATCCAAGAGGCATTGATAGCTGCGGCGCGGAACTACCAAGCCTCTTTTGACTAGTTCCTGCCATCTCGTTTTCAATCCTAACAGAAATCAAATCACTGTATTTGATGTCCACTCCTTTGAATGTACTCTGTTTGAACGTTACTCTGTGTATGCTGACCTGTGTAGCTCTCCAGGAAAGTAGATCGCAGTTACAGGATTGTTGTGATAGTGCTCAGTATGAACAGCTCTTTGTGAACCTCTCCATGTGACATGAATTTTCTGCAAGCGAGACCTTATTGCAATGCTACTTGACAGTCTGACTATCGATTATTGAGTCTGAATAACAGAAATTAAGCCCGAAGTGAGACTTCTTAGTGTACAGTGGTAGCACTCTTTTAGTTTTTCTCCCCTCCATAGGTTCCAACGTTTCTTTATATACCTTGTACACACAGCAGGGTCTAGGGCCAACGGACGCGTTCGTACTGCAAAGGTGGCTTGGGCAGCAAAAAAAGAACAAGACGAAATAAGCCAACCTATCCTACCTTAACTAAACCGACTAAACCCTATCACCCGCAAATAAACTTTCAATCATCCCGAAGCCAAACCTAAGACCTTCAATCTTAAGTAAACCCTGATACAATCAGTAAACCCGAAAGCCACCCTAAATGAAGCCGAACTAAACCCCAAAGAACCCCCCAAAACAAGCCCGAATATAACCACGCATGTTTGAACCTGCGCGGAATTTTTGGGCGAATGCCCATATTTTGTAACAAAATTGCTGTTTGTAGGGACTGGCAGTTTGAAGAAGAGACAGAAGCATTTTGAGGAATACCAACACATGGGAAGAGTATGGAAGTGTTAGCCTTCTTTCTTGTTTGACGCGCAAAAGACATGATACCTTCTAAAGAGCGATGAGGAAAGTGGCCGACTCTTTCACAGAAGCGCATGTCACCCATCAGGCAGAATATATGTGAGAGTGTATGTCAGGATAAATCTCCGAACAGCTTTTTCCCACGGCCTTCAAAGGCCCTCGGCAGAAGGATTCAGCTCATCCCTTCAAGCTTCTGAAAAAACCCAGGTTGTTCCAATGATTTCAATCATTGATTCCAATGGAGAGAAATACATGGCTAGCAAAAACAACGCAACAAAATCAGCGCCAAGCTCCATTTAAAAAAACAACCAGTGCGACAAGACGAGCGCAAAACCCCACATCCATAGCATCAAACCCACACGTACTGTTCTATATTACATTTATATTTCTATTTTGCATAGAAAACAACATCTGTATATACTCTGCAGAGGCCAAAGATTCTGCTCGTTGATGGGTTTGTGCCTACTTCAGAGGCAAACTGAAAAAATCAGGCGTTGCACTGCAAGCGAATTTGAGTTTGGCTAGTTTGCTATGTTTGGCCGCCAGGTGAGTGCACTAGTGCCGATATCCAAAGGAAATTGTTCATTGCCTTGCAGACGCTGCGGAAGTGATTACGACTGGTGCAATATCCGCCAGGACAGGAGGGATTTGCATCTTGGAATTGAGGAATTGAGGATATGGACTTATGACATCTAGACATGTTCTGACACAGACGTAGATGTGAGGTCTTACAGGTTGAGAAATAGAAGAAAGACACTTTCTATCCAAAGTGTTTGGTTCAGGTCTTCTAACAAGTGAGATCAGCAAGAGTATCCCGCCTTGGCATTCGTCAGAAATTCCATATGTGATTTGCACATCCGTGGCCGTCATCAATGGGTTCAAAATTGCTCGACCCTTTGGCAACCATGGATCGTGGGTTGATCTCAGCAAGACTTCTGCCCTCTTCTCTTGCTTTGGCCACAGAGACATATCCAAATCCGTCCTGACCTTCTGAACTATTTGACATCATTTGGAAATCTCAAAATATCTGTCTCCACTCTTGAAGTCTTCACTCAAGTCTTCTTCATCTAAAGGAATCAAGGAATCAGACATCCTCAGAGCTGGGGCTGGAAACTGCTGTTGTTTGTTTAAAATTCCCTATAACACCTTGGCCGGATCTCTATATCATCTAGCATTTTGGAGCCTGCAGACCTATAGGGTCTGGTAAAAAGAAACAGAGCAAGCTTACGTAAATATCGCACCTGAACACTTTGATCGGATACCCAGATGCATTGAAAATAGTATGATTGACGCAATTTCCACAGCCCTAGAACATCTAGAACCCGTATAGAATCGTTGTGATATTATGTCATTTTTTCATCATCGTTTGCAGCAAGGCTTTTCGCCCCAGCTGAGCACATGATTTTGCAACGTCCGCAAACATTGACATGCCACATAGAATTTCGGTGACGGTAATGACGGTGACATGAAGTGACGCCATGCCTTGAATGCCTTGAATGCCTTGAATCATGCCCGTCCAGGATATGCGCGCGTTGATTAGCTTTGGACTTGGTGCCGTTCTCTGCGCACTGCTCTGCGGTTGGGCGCGCTGTAAGGACAGTTTGGTCGGGCTGAGATAGGACTGCTCCAGTTGTTGGAGCCAACCGCAAAGTGGCCATAGGGCCAACTCATCATTTTTGCCGGGTTGATGGTGATGTTACATGGGATTGATATGTAGTTGTACGACCTGGTTTGATTGGGATTACAGGCTTATGCGCTGTGAAAACCCTTTTCTGCCAACAAGTGGAGGGGATGACAAAAGAATTGAGGAGTGCAGAAACGGAGAACTTGAGATTTCTGTTCAAGGCATGTAGGCGGTCTTCACTTTTGAGTCTCGCCGAGCTATCCTAGACTGTTTCAAATTGCACTGACGTCCCATTAAAGCCAAACCATTCAGAGACATTGCGTCATCACTCTTGTGTTCAATGATTTGGATAGGGACCAAGAGTAGATCATGTTTCAAATGCTTGATCTGGAGTACTTCGTGTAATTGTCAGGATCAGTAACCCTTTGGGTTATTTTATAATTGGGGGATTCGAGTCTAAATGATTGAGAATCGAATATAGCCACAGGATCCATGACTTGAAATTTTGGCACACCCTGAATTAAGCAAGCCGGGTTTCTGAATGCAGGATTGAATTGACAAGCTAGTTACTAGTTTTAGACACTGCAGCTTTATGAACTGCCAAAGGGATTGGAAGTTTGACCCTTTCGAAATCCTGAGCGACTCCGTCTGTTCAAAAGGCACCTCCCGGATGAGAAAACACCGCGGCAGCGAAGAACGAAAAAGCATCAAAATTGCGCCCAAAAACTCTCGAATGTAACTTCTGAAACCCACAGAAAACGCAGATTTTAGCTACTTTTTCCTTCTGTTTCCTCCTGCTGCTGCTGCTCCTGCTCCTGCGACTCCTTCTGTTCAAAAGGCACCTGCCGGATGGGAAAACACCATGGCAGCGAAGGACGGAGAAGCCCCAAAATGGCACCCCGAAAATGCCTAACGCAACTTCTGAAACCCATGCAGAGAAAATGATGATGAAATGATGATTTTGGCGACTTTTTCCTCTTGCTGCTGCTATGAATTTGGGCTACTTTTTCCTCCTGCTTCTGCAGAGGCTTTTGCTGCTGCTGCTGGTCCCCAGATGCGAAAACACCATGGCAGTGAAGGACGGCGATGCCTAACGTAACTTCTGAAACCCATGCAGAGAAAATAATGATGAAATGATGATTTTGGCGACTTTTTCCTCTTGCTGCTGCTATGAATTTTGGCTACTTTTTCCTCCTGCTTCTGCAGAGGCTTTTGCTGCTGCTGCTGCTGGTCCCCAGATGCGAAAACACCATGGCAGTGAAGGACGGCGAAGCCCCACAATGGCACCCGAAAATGCCTAACGTAACTTCTGAAACCCATAGAAAATGATGATTTTGGCAGCTTTTTCCTCTTGCTGCTGCTATGAATTTTAGCTACCTTGTCCTCCTGCTGCTACAGAGGCTTTTGCTGCTACTGCTGCTAGTCCCCGGATGGGAAAACACCATTGCGCAGCCGGGGTCGGCGGATATAGAATAGAAGAATTAGCTACCCCTGCTGTGTCAGCGAAGGACGGAAAAGCATCAGAATTACGCCCAAAAACTCCCTAATGTCACTTCTGAAACACACAGAAAACGCAGATTTTAGCTACTTTTTCCTTCTGTTTCCTCCTGCTGCTGCTGCTGCTCCTGCTCCTGGGACTCCTTCTGTTCAAAAGGCACCTGCCGGATGGGAAAACACCATGGCAGCGAAGGACGGAGAAGCCCCAAAATGGCACCCCGAAAATGCCTAACGTAACTTCTGAAACCCATGCAGAGAAAATAATGATGAAATGATGATTTTGGCGACTTTTTCCTCTTGCTGCTGCTATGAATTTGGGCTACTTTTTCCTCCTGCTTCTGCAGAGGCTTTTGCTGCTGCTGCTGGTCCCCAGATGCGAAAACACCATGGCAGTGAAGGACGGCGATGCCTAACGTAACTTCTGAAACCCATAGAAAATGATGATTTTAGAGGCTTTTTCCTCTTGCTGCTGCTATGAATTTTAGCTACCTTGTCCTCCTGCTGCTGCAGAGGCTTTTGCTGCTACTGCTGCTAGTCCCCGGGTGGGAAAACACCATTGCGCAGCCGGGGTCGGCGGATAAAAACACGCAGACGTCTGTGACCACATAACATGTCATGACACGACACGACGTTACATACGCAGAAATTACATGAGTGAATTACAATATAATGGCAACAATAAAACTATATTATTGTAATATATTGTAATTAATTATAGACATACACACACAAACATATATATATATATACATATGCGACGATGACGATAGAACTATGCATTGCATGTTCTCATGTTCCGAGAGCCAAATGACTCATTTCACCTCGTGTCGTAGTGACAATCCACCATTCAACAAATTGTAAGTCTAGTCATTCGGATTAATTCTGATGCACGGCATGCATATAACGAATGACTCATGTATGTTTTTTTCGCGTAGAGACACACATTCGACTGTCAACTGTGCTGGCGACGCTTTCAAGCGGCGTCTCGCTGGGGCCAAAAGTGATTTACCCTAAGCATGCTCAACGAGGAAATCATTGAATTTGCTTGTAGTCTACTTCCATGGAATATAGAGCTTATCGAAGAAAGTTTAGAAGTCAAACTTCCGACAATATGGACAGATGAAAAGCAGAGATGGGAAGAGCCAGAGAAAAGAAGAGAAGAGAAGAGAAGAGAAGAAGAAAGAAGATCAAAGAAGAGAAAGTCAGAAGAAAGAAGATGCAGGTGCGCGAAAAGGTAGGAAAGTCGCGAAACACTGCGTTTTTCCAATGATTTGTGGCTCCGGAGGATCGAAAAGTAGGCTTGCTAAAGCGTCGGGTGCGGAGCCATCTGGCCAGATGAGAGATGAGAAATTGCACGCCGTTGTGGCGCGAAGCACATTTCGAAGTCAAAATGTACAAAACACACCAGGTTCGGACCACTTTTGCAGTTGAGATGTCGAAAAAGTGCACGCTGTTGTGGCGCGAAGCACATTTCGAAGTCAACATGTGCAAAACACCACATGTTCGCGCCATTTTTGGACGTTCAGATGTCGTTTCGCGTGGCAGGCGCAGTACAAGAGACATGTTCATCAGAGATGTTAGGAGGTCAGGGCGGAGATTTCTTGAGAGGGGTTGCATTTTGGAGTATCAGATGTGCAGGTTTGCTCAGATGATTTTGCGTGACACGTGCAGCACTTCGTATGACCTGGCATCAATTTTCCGTGGCAGGCGCAGTACTTTGGACAGGTGGACTGGAAAAATCGCAAAACGCATTGGCACGAGGCCGTCAGCTCTGCACTCAACTTTCTATTTTTGAAGGAAGCCTCGCAGAAGTGCTTCGTTTTTGATGTTGTCAAGTTCAAAAAATAGGGAAGTCTCGCAGATTGCTTCGTTTTGCATGTTGTCAAGTTCAAAACTTGAGGAAGTCTCGCAGGATTGCTGTGTTTTCAAAATTAATTACAGACAGACAGACAGACAGACAGAGCGACTGACTGACTGACTGACTGACTGACTGACTGACTGGCTGGCTGGCTGACAAACAGATAGATGGATATATATATATATATATATATTTAAGACAGATAGGATAGATGGATAGATAAGATAATAAGATAGATAGATAGATAGATAGAGAGAGATAAATAGAGAGAGATAGATAGATAGATAGAGAGATAGATAAATAGATAGATAGATAGATAGAAAGATAGATAGATAGATAGATAGATAAAGATAGATAAAGATAGAAAAAGATAGAAAAAGATAGATAGATAGATAAGATAAGATAAGATAAGATAAGATAAGATAGATAGATAGATAGATAGATAGATTAGATAGATTAGATAGATTAGATAGATTAGATAGATTAGATAGATTAGATAGATTAGATAGATTAGATAGATAGAGAAAGAAAGAAAGATAGATAGATAGATATAGATAGATAGACAGACAGACAGATAGATAGACAGACAATTACAACTACAACTACCACTACACTACACTACACTACTGCTACAGCTACAAATACAAATATTCTACGCTACATTACGCTACACTAATTACACTACACTACGCTACATTGCGCTACACAATTACACTACACTACACTACATACATCTAATTACACTACACTACGCCAATCACACTAAAAACTACAACAGCAACTACTACCACAACTACAACTACAATTACAACAGCTACCCTTTACGCTACACTCCAGTACACTACACTAATTGCACTGCAGCACGCTACAACTACAAATACAACCACACTACATTACACAACACTAAGCTACACTGATTACATCGCATTACAGTACAACTACAGCTGCAGCTGCAACTACCACTACATGACACTACACTACAACTACCACTACATTACACTACACTACGCCACGCTACACTGCACTACACTACGCGACACTACACTACACTACACTGCAGCTGCAACTACAACTACAATTACAACTACAACTACAATTACAACTGCACCACACCACGCTACATCCAGCAGTTGTGGTAAGGTGACCACTGCAATCATTGCAACCACTTCAAAAAACGCAACTGCAACCATCTGTCGGTCCATCAGTGGGTTGGCTCTGCCATCCGTGATTCACAACCAACCTCTCCTGTAGGTTTCCTATTTTTGAAACTTCCGCCACCGCCTTGTGCGGCACTACTGGTAGTTTGTTATTTTTTGCTGTCGATTGGAAAATTATTGTTTTTGCAGTTGGCTCACACTGCACGCTGTCGCAGAGTCACCAATCCTGAGTCTTTACTGTGAATTTCTAAAGCTAACTGAATTGGTGTAACGGTGTAACTGTTCAAATTAAGAAAAACCATCATTTGCATGCCGCTGTGAGGGAATAGTGGTGCGGGCCTTCAACAAGGGTCCCTCTCACGTTGCTTCTGAATTCAGATCTCATCAGGCTGTGATCTCTTGAACTTCAAATCTTGACACATGTTTTCTCAAAATTTCATCCTCAAATCTTAAAACAGATCCTCTCCGGATCCTGTCCTGATCCTGTCTTGCAGGAGTCGAACAGCCGAGATCAAATGGACCCTCTCGAGCAGTAAACTTAGTCAGGTATTGCAGATACGAAGAAAACATGCTGCTAGCAGTGCTAGGGCTTAATTTTTCCCCACAATTGATGATGAACCCTTGGCACAACACCTCATGGTGGTGGCGATGGTAGTGTTGTACTGACATGCGGTCAACATATGTCAACACAATCTTGTCTTGTTTCCCTTTGTCCAGTACCGATCCAAGAAGTTGAACGAGATACATCAAGATACACAAGGGCAACATGACCGGATAAGAACGGTTCTAAGAATGGCGTGTATATGTGGAATCTGCGTCCAAGGCGAGTCCAACTGTTTGCTTATATGATGTGACGGCAGAAAGGCCAGGCGCGGTGTCCTTTTTTTCCGGTTCTTTTTCCCACAGGCCTAGCCACTGCCAAAATTTTCATCAAGTCCGAACAGGTCGAACGTTTTGTTCAACGTTTTGGGTCAGCGTTTTCTTGTGTTCCCCTATCTCAGTCGTCCACTCCCCGTATCCCCCGTATCCCCCGTATCCCCTAGTCCTGAACAGGCCGGGACTCCGGGACTCGGCACACCTCGGCACGTCTCGGTACTTCGTGATTTTCCGTCATGGAATGGGCCCATGGGCACAGCCAGCGTCTCACGTGGACACAATTGTGGCACCGTGTTTTTTTTTTTAAAAAATATGATTCATTTTTATGATTCATTTCAGAATATTTCAGTGCCTGTGCAGAGTATCGACTCATTCGATGTGCACAGTTGTACAAACTTGTCCCAAGTGGGGTCACTTGGTGTCCACTCGAAATCCAAGAAGCGTAAGCCTCTCCATTGCACTTCGAAGGTTGGATTTCGAACGCTGGTGAGACCTGGCAAGGCTTCTTCCATGCTGTTGTGCAGAGATGTGATGCATCCATGTGTTTTTTGGACATCTTCAGCACAAGTCGTGCCTTCTGTAAAGGATGATTTCTATATATATATATTTCTATTGTTTTCTTCCTTTTAGAATGTTTGTTTTTCTTCATCGAAGAAGTCAAGTTGTTTCTAGGTGTTTCCGAGGCAGATCATCCAAATCCGACCTGCACAGCAGCATGGTGCACATGAACACAGGGAGGGGTTAGACGCTCAGACGCTCGTGCCAGGACGGACAAGGGCTGTGTAGGGAAACTTTCATATGCTGCACAGCACAATCGTATCATATCGTATCAGTTGACTTTCGAAAGCAAAAGACACCCAGCTTCATGTTCATATAGAATATAGAATGAAAGCAATTGATGATACTACGCGTCCGTCAAGTGCAGAGCAGAGCAAAGCCGAAGCTGCAAGTCACAGCGTCTTGGCAAAGTGGACTCTGAAAGTTCAAATCATGTTAAAGACATATTTTACATATTCGCTACATGTTTAAACATGTTTCAGTGGGTTGTGGCTTTGTTTTCAACAAAGAGTCTTCTCATTCTGACAGCATGGTGCTGTACCCCATTCCATACGTCTTTGCATCATGGTTTGCAATTTTACAAGAGTTCAACAGCGCTTGAAAGTTTGCAGGAAGGTTAGCGATTTTGGAGGGTTTTGGAAGGTTTGCGGTTTGTGCTCCGACACCAAGACACTGCGGGAGCGGCGCAAAGTAGCCACGGTCTGCACACAAAGCTGGAAACCAAACACCGCCGAAGCTCACGGCACAGGATCGTCACAAGATGTACTATGCTATGCCATGCTATGAGTGCTAACGATTTCAACATATTTGCATTGCACTTGATATATTTTGATATGCCACGCGCTTGTTGCTAAAGTTTGACCAGAATCTAGCGAATTGGCCGCCTGTTTGCATGTGCTCGGATCATTTCAAGAATCGGTTTGAACTTTGAAATCCCTTCATTGATTGGAGAGTGTTGATTGAAATCTTATCTCCTTGGTTGCAATGTGATGCAGAAGGCTTGCTTTGTCGCCGAACCCAATCACAGGCTGGTAGTCCATGATACCGTGATACATATTCAGATCCCATTCAGAAGGCCCTTTCCAACAACATGACATCAGGGTACGGGTGCGCATAGACAATCCGAAAACTTTCCAGGATACCAAAACTATACAAGACTTTCCAAGACTTTCCATGGGTCAATGACTGCCGCCGGAATTATGATTGTTTTCAGGGATCCAAATCCCACATCCCATGGATAAAACAAGGGAGCCACCCATGCCCCTTTTGGAGTGGTATGTCTCCACAGCTGAGGGGTGGAAAGAAGTTGTTTACTGAGAGAATGTAAGATATGTAAGCTGTAGACTATTTCAAACAATTTCCCAGGAACATGGAACAACAACACGACGGATATCGGATTGAAATCAGCCAAGCAATAAAGAACTTACTGGTCATAAAGAACTTACTGGTCTTTTTCGCTGTTTCAATTTGTTTCAATTTATTTCTGAATTTCAATTAAAAATTAAATAGTAATTAAAACACTGATTCAAATTAATTAAACTATATTAAACTTTCAAAATTATTTTTTCAAAATTTGTCAAATCGACCCTCAGCTTCGCCTGCTGAGCCTGGTCCGTGTTGCGTTGGAGGCTGTACGTCTCCCATGACACGGAAACCCAGCTCCAGCGGCTCCACCGCAACGGAGTGCAGAGTGCAACGGATCCGATTTCGGAGTTCGCGAGCCCTCGGCCCAAGAGTTCGGTTGGGGTTCCTCTTGGGGGTGGCATGTCTTTCCGAGAGTCATGTGTATGCACAGTATGTCTTTCTGATTTTGGCAGGCCGTGGTACCACATTTCTGCCATTCTTCAAGGTTGATCATGGTTGATCTGTGTTGGGTCGTCGGAAATGATTGGGACATGGCAGACATGGTATCTAAATGTGTCTATGCGTAGATCTGGAGTTGGCCACATGCTGCTCATGAGCCCAAGGGAATTCGAGGCGAAGCTACAAGAGCTATGGAAGAGTTATGGAAGAGCTACAAGAGCTGAGCCGAGAGAACGGTAGAGCCGGAGCAGATCTTTAGATCTGGTGTCGCCAAGATTGGCCATGGCCCCGGCGCCATGCCAAGCGGTAGACCTTGTGTCTTAAAGCAATCTTGTTAGGACCACAATCATCACAATCGTGCTTGTTCACCTTGTTCGCTTTGTTCTAGAACGGCCAAGAGAAAAGAAAAAGGCGTGATTCAGGGTGAAATTCCGCTCTTCATTAGCTTGAATGTGGGTCATGTTTCATAGATTTCAATATCTTGTCATCTTTTGATTCTTTTTCATTATTTTTCATTCACTTGTCACTCTTTGTCACTTCTTTGTCACTCTTCAGTTCGCTGTTCATTGCAACAGCTTAGGCTGTGGAGTCTGTGGAGATGTGGCCAGGGATGCCTCCGCACAGCTCCATGTTCATACATCGTTTCATACATCTCCTAAGTCCATCCGAATTCGAGTCTCAAATTGTGACAAGTTACGGACGGAACGTAAACACTGAATACCATTTAAGAGACTTCAGGTCCTCACAATGCCACCACCAGCTCCCCCAGCTTTGGCAATGTACCCAACCCTCTGTAGTTTTTGTTTGCAATGATGGAAGGATGGGCTTACAATGGTTTACAGATGTTTACAGTTTACAGCAAAACTTTGAGGGGTATGCTCTAACCCTTGTCGATCCATCTTGATGCGTTTAGCTTTCTTTGCAACTTTTGGGCTCATTCGGTTTAATTGAAGGGCTGGACATGTGCATTCACTGTGACATTTGACGCATCATTTCCGCTGCATGCCTGCCCCTTCGCTCTTTTCAGGCTCAGCTCAAATGTTGGTAGAACAGGTTGAGCGAAGACAATGTTTCATTCGAAGCCCTTTCGCAGAGTGGCAAGCTGATGGGTTTGACATTGCAAAACATCGAGACAAAGATGTGCACCTTTTCCTTAACTAAAGCATAGCGAGGAAAGGCATTGTGTGGAGTTGTTCCAATTTGTTGCAATCACAAGGATGCAACAGAGTATTGTTTTTGGAAAAGGTTGCAACAAAGATATTGTTTTTGCATGAGATTTGTAAAATCACTTTCTCATATTTCCTATGGAGATTTCTTTTGTCCATTCCTCCAACAGGTTGTTTTACCCGGATCAACGCACATTTTGTTTACCGCGCAACCTACATGAGTTCGGACCAAGCGCAGGCGCGGGGATTCTCGAATGCAACAAATATCATAAATATTGAGATTATTGAGGTCTGGATTCGCATTGGCCTCTCATTCATTCTCATTCCCAAGCGACAATCACATGACTTGCTAGTGTTCACTTTGAGAAGACTCCTGCAGACATGGGAAGGGCAGCAAACTCCATGCACAGCAAGAGCCTAACCCCTGGGGAATAATAGAATCGCAGTTTCCAAGATACGAATACAATGCCATAATGCTATAATGTGCTGCTTGTTTTTGTTCTCCTCCTGGGCAGATGTTTTTTGGACCGCCACGTGTCTCCAGGATATGACGGGACGTCTTGGACTGCTTCAAGCAGGCGGGCAGTGGCAGTACGGTGTACGCTGTGTACGGTACGGTGTGCACTACAGTGTGTACGAGGTAGTCTTGGGTGGCTTGGAAGTTTAGACGTTTAGATCATGTATTTTTCCAGCATATATAGGTCCAGTTGGCGCCCAAATCCACGGTGAGCAGGCGCTCTGTCTAGTGCCCATTGCATCACCTTCCACCTTTCCTGATCGCATCTCTCAATATCTCTCATCAAACTGTTTTTTCCACCTTCACAGAATACGCAATTCCGAGATCGGAAAATGTAGAAAACTCCAGCATGAGGAAGCATTTGTGACGTGTCTGAATGTGTATATTGCTTGTGCTATGCATCGGGACAAAGGGAAATTCGGTAACAGAGAAATGCGGGAAAGGATGCAGGTCTGGGGCCCGAACAACAGGACAGTTGAACGACCAGGGAGAGAAGATGTCATATCAAGGCATCAATGCCGACAAAACAGGTGCAGGTGAAAATGATTGTAAGTTGTAAGTTGTAATTGTGACAGGTCGCTTTTTGGTTGGACTATAGAGTATATGGTTACCTTCACAACGTGACGGTCCTTTGTTTCGTTCACCTGTGACCGAACCCTTCCAAATCTGGCATTTGCATTTCTTTTATTTTTGAACTGGATAGCCCTATACAGCTCTGGCATGAACTCTGCAGCTTGGTACGTGAACTCATCCAAGAAGCTTGCTCTCAGACACTTTACACACTGGCATTTGCTTTATTTTTATTTTGATTTGGAATTGGATGGTCACATGCAGCTCTTGCATGAACTCCCGGCACGTGAGCTCTTCCAAGAGGCTTGCTCTCAGACACTTCACTCCCATGCAAGTTGTTTGAACTATTCCATCCATGGAAGTTGATCTCTGCATTGAAGCAGTTTCAGAAATCCTCCTTGCGTTGCCACTTTTTAGATCAAGGGTGGGTGTGGTGGGAGCCCACGACTTTATTTGGAAGGCTTCACCCGCCAGAAAGAAGAAAACTTAATCTTTTTGATACTTGTTGAAACTCAATGCACCTATCCAATTACAAGATTTCCAGGCTGACGGATTCTTACAGCATCTTCAAGCAGCAATATGTGGACAGCCCGTTTGCCGGCAATCGTCGGATAGCTTTGACAAAGTTGTCAACCAATTCGTACCGGTTCATACCACAGTGTGCAGTCTTTACT